GACGTAGTCGAAACATCAAGGTGTGTATCTTTGTAAAATCCATATAACATTGGTCCTTTCCTGCCATCCAATTCCTCCACCTGGTATATGTTTACATTAACTACAAAAGGAAAATGTACACAGTATACAAACTACAAGTAGGAGCAGCATTGAGTTACCTTAATCGAGTCCACAAATAATTGGTTGGGTTTTATCAATATTGATGAACTTGGCCCAAGCTTTACGTTCACAAATCCATATACCCCGAAAATCAGAGTCATAGATACTGAAATCAGATGCAAAGACAATCCCATATATAACCAAATGTGTCATGATTCCACTTCCTAATATCCGTTTGGCAAAATTTATAAATTGTCAAACTTCATTCTTAACCACAAATTACAATGGAGGTGCAAATACTGTCCGTTTGGATGACAAATTCTCTGTATTAACTAATTAAACCTCTAAAATTGGAAAAAAAATAAAAATAAATAACAACTACAAGCCAGAATTTCAGAAAACAGAAGAAAAACTAGGAAGTATGAAAAATTCTTGAAGCTAAGAAATTTGTTATCATGTTTATGTTAATGTGGATTAGACGTCTCTGGTTCATCAAGTATGGTTAAACCAAAAAGAACAATGCCAGAAGTACATAGGAGTTTCACAGGTTTTTTTGCCGGATGCTAAGTGTCAATACTGCATTGGTCCATTTTAATTTTTTTTCCATTATCCAATCCAAGAATGCCACCTAGCCTGTGAAACTCCCCTGTAAGTATGGCTTTTTTCAACCAAAAATGTACATACTGACAAACGAGAAGGCGAGCACAGTGATGATACATGCCCAACTATCGAATATACCCCGCAACCCTTCACTGTCATCGTGCACCGGAGGAAACGCTTCAATATTATCCTCTCTGTCTATTTGCACCTGTGAACTTGATGTTGTTGCAGATGATGTAGTAGCAACGAAATATTCCAATGATGAAGTAAAATGATCTTGTTCTTCCATTCTCAACAAAGAAATTTAACAATTTTTCTCAAAATAATTTAGTTAGAATCTGTAGAATTGGATTTTATGTCTTACTGAATATGTTATGTTTTGAAGAGTTCATGGATAGATGAACCGAGCTACATTGCCAGGG